CAAGGTGCCCCCTTCTAGAACCATGGCTCCTTCAACCAGCAAGCCATCGGTCACCCCTCAAAGAAGCTGGCCTGCCCCACCTGCTCAACACAGCCCCTAGTATGTACCAAGCCTCCATGTGGTCCCTCTGTAGTAATGACGTCTAGGCCAAACTCTCTCTGCCTGGGCTGTAATTTCCTGATTAGGCACCACAGTCGCCACCCTCTCCCCACACACTGATTGTTTCCTGCCGTTTTCTCAGTCTCTAAGGTTCCCCAGGCTCCAAGGCCAAGTGAACTTCAGAGCCCCTATAGGCCTTGGGAAGAGGCCAAGGAACTGGCCAAGCAAGGTTAGACCCTACTCAGAGAGGATCCTGGCTTAATTTTTTTTTTTTTTTGGCAGCTTAATTTTTAAAGTTCAAGAAATGGTTGTAACAAGAAAGAACAAGGTCATTATGCTCCAGTAGAACAAAGGGGTACGTGTGTGGCCTGTGTTCAAATACCGACTGCCCAAGTGCTGATCTTGGCTACACAAGTCTCGCTGAGTGCCAGCTTGCCCACCTATAAAACAGAACTAACGACTCCTCAGGAGGTTGTTGGATGCAGAGTGGCTGAAGAGCCAGGCACACTGGGTTGAAATCCTGATTGTTCCCCTCTGTGCAACCTTGAATAGATTATATCACCCCTTTGAACCTCAGTTTTGCCACCTGTTTAATAGGAATAATAAAATATCTGTGTGTTATGTGATCAGATTCACGCATGAGAAGGTAGCTGGTAAACGGAAGTGCTGGCAAGCACAAGGCAGCATTTCCCCAGCCAATAAAGAGAACAAACCGTACCTTTGGAGTCCTGGCCTGACCTCTGCTTGGGTTCCTCCTCCTCTGGCCCAGCATCAAGTTTTGAAGAAGGTTTTTTATCTTAGACATCAGACTAGGCCAAATCACCCTGGGGAGGGTTGGGGCAGTGAGGGATTCTGCCGTGAGACCCCCACTGTCCCACTGCCAGTCCACACTGGCTGTAGTCAATCCTGTTTCTTGAAGTTTATAAACAAACTTTTCATTCCCCTGGTCTCTTCCACACTCCCCTTTTGAGACTCCAGTTTCATTTTGCAAAAGGCCCTTGGTGCTGTACTTTCTGGGATACTAGTGGCTCCTGGTCCCAGCTGGGGGCTTAGTCCATTTAATCCATAGTGTCTCTCTCTCTCTCTCTCTCTCTCTCTCTCTTTTCCCTCTTTCTCTCCCCTCTTTC